AATTTAATGATGTAAAAGTCAATCTTAATTAAAGGAATTATAGAATTTTACTTATGAATATATAAACATTCATGTCGCTTCGAATGTTCCAGAAATCCAAACGGGTTTTTAACATATACGTTATTTAAGTTTTTTTTGCATTTTTAAATGTTTAGGTATATGATTAAGACTAAGCGATATTTTTCAGTTCCCTATTTTTGTAGAATGGGTTTGTGATACAATTTACTGAAGGTTTCACGTATACGTTACAAGCTGATGTTAATATTATCTGAATGTTTTATATTCCTTTAATAATGTTTAGGTATATGATTAAGACTAAGCGATATATTTCAGTTCCCTATTTTTGTAGAATGGGTTTGTGATACAATTTACTGAAGGTTTCACGTATACGTTACAAGCTGATGTTAATATTATCTGAATGTTTTATATTTCTTTAATAATGATCTCTCATGACTGACGTTTTATTATTTTTTATTCAATTGTAATATTTCGCTTAAACTATTAGTTATCGCTAATTTTTTTGAATTTTGTAACGAGTCTTTGGTAATTCCTATGCATTATTGTACTAATTATACTAACTTATTATTTCTAACAGAAAAAAGTTATAATATGCTTTCATGAGGTTCTTTTCTTTCGTCTAACCTATTTTTGAAAAGTGTAACGTGACTTGACTTTACCAGTTTTGAATTGGAATATTTCATCTCGATGGCAACTTATGCGCACATGGATTAAACTGCCAGATCAGATCCCAAGGAAAAATTTATCAGCGGTAAGGCAACAATTCAAATCACCCGCCTCCACAAGGCGCTTGTCCGGCTTCTTGAATCGAATAGCGGGACTGAACGTTTTTCCCATAACTGTACGTCTCGAACCCTTGCCCACGCTCGGGTCTTATCTGTTTGGACGGTGAGATTTGCGTGTATTTCCAATAAAGTAAACTTCAAGCTCACTTTCACAAAAGCTTCAATAGGTATACCTAACACGACTTTACTTTTTGTTAATGAAATCGGGTTGGACAGATCAGCCATAAAGAATACACAGAGAATTCCAAATCCATTTTTATCATTTTATTTTACCAGCTTATTCACAGTGACAAGTGTACAAAAATCAAACTGGAAGAACACACGAGAAAGGATGAAACAAACAGATCCTCCTACACTGCGTGGCGGAAGATATAATCAGAAGAAAAGAAAGTGGAGATAGAGAAACTGCAAGATCTCGACTTCCAGCAAGTTTTCTATGTGAGTCCGTACCTATACTCACGAAACATGTGCGACGAGGATGGGAATTTACTGGACAAAGAAGCAAGCTGCATGACCAACTTTATTTTGTAGTCTCAGTGCAGGAGCTGGAAGAGTGGAATGAAAACCGATGAAAGCAGGCACTTTGTTCTCATCTACATTCCGATATGTCGGTTTTTCTTACATAAGCTCCTTTTAGAGTTATCACAGTTATCGAATTATGTGATGGCCCCTCAGACTAATGTATCAGAAGAGCTCATTTAAATACTTATATAATTTACTGGGCCCAGTGTCGTTCCTCTGGTGTGATCTGTTCTTTCTACTCGGCGAGCTGGCTGTTCTTACGAACAGTAACTGCATTAGTGGATGTATGGACGGTTCCTGAGACCACAACAAACATGTTTAATATACCCAGGTTGAAGTAACATGCTGACTCCATCAAAAGATATCCCGGATGAACTGCCTTTCTTTGCTTAACTAATCAGTAAGTAAACAACATGCGGTTGAGTTTCAAGTGCCGTACAAACGACAAAATATGATTTATTTTTACCTCATCAGATGTGCTTACGTATAAAGTAGGGGCCAGACTATCAAAACTAATGGCCAGTAGTGACTGCAAACAGGTTATTAGTTATAAAAGAGTGGAATTCAAGAACTGAGACAATCAACACATGCACGTGAAACGTGGAATGTATTAATATCACCTCACAACAACAACAACAGCACAAAAAAGAGCTTACGAAAATCAAATTCCTCATTATAGATGATAGAAAATTACCTTGTGAATTGGTATATAAGAGCACAGTCTGTCTATGTAAAAAAAAAAAAAGATGTTGGTACGTGTGTTATAGTCAATTTTTCCACAGGTTTGAAACAATCTGATACCTTGCAGATAGGCCAAGTGTATCAACGCGTCTTGTGTATTTGTTTCGTGAAAAATTAACGACGTCCATCAAAGAGAGGGGAAAATCATAGAAGATCTTGCACGGAAAGTGACATCTTGCAGTATCTCATTTCACACATACACAAAATACAAAGTTCTACCCTTATGAGCTATTGATGGTAATTACTTTAATCCACGAGTAAACTACTAATTTTACTTATTAGTGAGATACTCATAGTACTTACTAGTAGGTAACATAAGATATTTATTCTTATGGGATTCACCTGTCTTACCAATGCACATTCTTTCTTACGGTAAGTTTCAGAAGTCTCTGCATTCTTTGGTACAGTGAAATATAAATTCATTAGATAGGGTATGGAACTACTTACTAGTAAGCTTTCCAGTTCGCTTACTAGTAACATACTCAGGTTACCTACTGGTAAGTTCCTGGAACCTCCAAACAGAGGATTGATTGAAATTCCTAATAATTGACTAGGAGGTTAAATTAATATGATAATCTGGAAAAGCACTTTGAAACTGATAACATGATGTCATTATATTCTAAAAAAACAAACAACAATTTATAGCTGTCACTGTATGCTAGAAGAGGCAGAAAGAGCCCATTACTGTTTAAAACTACATTAACACTGGTTGTTTAAAACCCTAATCTGAACGCTGATTTCTATAGACAATGATGCACTTGGTACAATATGAGAGAATCTATGTGAAAGTTCTACCTTCAAAATGTATATGAATATACGATATATATAAGTAAGATCACAATACAATTCCCCAATCATTGTTTTCTCACAATTAATAAGGAGCACCAATTCTTTAAGATATTTTTTTTTTTTACAAATGAATAAACTGTATTTATTCTATATTTATACAGTGGCAACAACTAATGTGCATTCTTTACGATACACAGGGCAATCAATAAAAAGATATAATTCAAGGAAATATTCACACCACAATATACAAGCGTATGTTTACTACAAATAACTTGCAATTACATCAAAGATATATCCAGACCTATACAGAAGAACTGCCACCACCGTAGCAATCAAACAGTGACACTACTTACACTATCTTCCAAACACAATGGGCTATCGTAAACCTGAATCTGTGAGAGTTGATCTTTATTGTAGTACAAGTCGCATTTTTTTAAAAGTTCCCAATAACAGCGTTGTACTTTCCTCCAATACACGTTTCACACTTTTATCTTATACTTTCCCCTCTAACGTGAAAGGGACAAAAAACTGCATATAGAAACAAGGAGGGAGTGAAGTATTGCAGTACAATCGTGTACATTTCGCTAGAGCCTTCAAAACTGCATGATAGGAGCTATATCTATATAGCGAGTGAGAGAGAGAGAAAAAAAAAAAACAAGGAAAGAGTGAAGTATTACAGTACAATCGTGTACATTTCACTAGAGCCTTCAAAACTGCATGATAGGAGCTATATTTATATAGCGAGCGAGAGAGAGAAGAAGAAAAAAAACAAGGAAAGAGTGAAGTATTACAGTACAATCGTGTACATTTCACTAGAGCCTTCAAAACTGCATGATAGGAGCGATATTTATATAGCGAGTGAGAGAGAGAGAGAAAAAAAACAAGGAGAGAGTGAAGTATTGAGTTATTCACAGATTTATAAATATATGGTCGTAAAGCTAATTTTCTTTAAACTAATATAAAAGCTTCATAGTCTGAATGCTAGAAAATATCCGAACTGTGAAGCAAAAGAAACCAATAATTGAAAACCTAAAACTGAGCACAAAAATAGAGTTTAATACAAGTTAAATAACATTTCTTTTAATAAAGTAATTATAGTGGACACAAAAGAGAGAGATTACTAAACTGGATTTCACCAGCAATGGGTGCAACTACCTTGCGGTGAGAAATTTAACATTGTTTTTTAATTATCACTATCTTGTCTTTTTCAACAAAATAACAACACGTTTTTAACTTGTCTGTAGGTCTGATATTTTCCAAGGCCCAAAAATTAACTTATTTCTTGTATTTGTATCAATTGTAAAATTTTATTAGACAATATAAATATTAAATCAAATTATGTACTTTTTTCAGTCACAAGGGGCAATCGTACGGTAGCCGATAACTGCATATAACACAAAATCATACAACAGGTAGATGTTATTTCTCTTTGCAATAGAATTAAGATATCTCATTAAATACAAAACGTGCTTGGGCTATCAACAACTTCAAAATACTAAATCCACAGTTACATAAACTAGTTCAAATGTAATATCATATCAAGCGTTAACTTGGATGGAAAACAAATCCAGTTTGCACGTCATCATAATTTGACTAATACATTGATGACATTTCCAGTAATTCATCTGTACATTCAGGTAGGCGAATGTTCTATAATTTTGCAGTATAATGTGAAAACGAGAAACAAAACCTCACACTAGGCGTGATGATAAGATTTTATGAGTAGTACATTTTAATATTAACGATCAAAACAAGACTAACCAAAACATTTTAAATTGAGTGTAAGCCATACACACACACATATATATATGTTTAATAATAGTATAAACTTCAACAGGAAAAAAACAACATTTGTGATTGCTTTCCAGAACATTAGATTCCCAATTAATATGAACAATGCTGTAGTGAAATATTCGAAATATCGCGTTGGTGCTAGTTTCTAGAAAGAACAAAAGAAAAATTATCTCGAAAGTGAAAATGTCTCATATTTAACTATTAATATGTAATTTTCTCATAATAAAACTTTATAACAGTATTCATAATAACAGCGACTATCACTACAAAAACCTTTATAAACAGATGTACTTTTTATTTTTCTTCCTGTTCTCATGATAAAGCATGTTGAAATTAAAGATATCTACATAAAGAAAATCATAGAAACAGGGGGTGTAGTTATACGTGTGTGAAACGTCTTAGTTTAGCAAAATGGTGAATGGTGAATTTAAAAAAAATTCAAAATGAACTTTTTGGAAGTCATGAGTTTAATATATGAAATTTTGAAAAAAAATGATATTTTGTTATTTATTTCTAAAAGCCAGTAAACCCACAACGCATTGCGCATTTCTTAAAAGCATGTTATAGAAATTGATCATGTAGACCCAAGACTGCAAACACAAATTTATGGATATACAATTCATAGAACTGATTACCTTCAACTACTTAAATGTTCAATAAAGATCTAGCAAGCCCGTTTGTTTATTTCTGAGGCAAAGGAGGATGATTTGACTTAAGAAGGATGTACAAACACTATGTCTCGAGAAGACGTGCATGTTTGTTGAGAAAGAAGCATCTGATAATAACGTTACTCATATTCTTTTTACAGCAATGGTCTGTAAATAAAAATAAACACTGGCTCGTTGATCAGACTGATAAAAAATAAATCTATTTATTTGTATTTTAAATAGGTATAAAGTGTGCAACAAAAAATTTGGAATTCTCTATTTTAATAACAAAAGATTTATTACGCCTGTTTAAAGGATATTTCAGATGTTATATACTTCTCAGCTAAGTATTGGGTCACAAATATTAAACGTATCCAATATATTTTGTTGGGTAGAATTAGTAAAACAGCTGGAAATATCGTTAAACAAATATTGGTAGTCATTACATTCCAACTAATGAAAGGACCTTCTCCTGGCAGATTCTATTTACAACACGTTTCAACTATATTTGAATAAGATCTATGATTTATTGTTTCCTCAAAACTTTTTCTAACCTGTTTCTACAAAGAGAACACATAACTGACTTAAAATTCAACCAGCAATCTTAGAAAGACATCTTGTAATGAATTAAGTACTTCGTTGTTGTACTTTGTTGACCATTCATGAAGATGGCCCTATCTTTAACTAACAATAACATTTCAGTAGTGATCGATGCGAAGTGGATACTACCTGTTCAAAACTACTACAGAGTTTCATGAAATAGAACTTAGCATTCGAGTGATCACAAGTCGGTTTGTAACACCTTCTTCAAGTAGTTTTCTTATTTGTCGAGTACATGAATAAGTGATGTGCTCCCATTTACAACCGCCAAAAGACTTAGCTTATAGTAGACGACACGTTAAACGATATCTTTGGTCACTCAGTTCGACTACTGGAAGGCTAAGCCTACCCTCAGTACGTACAAACACTTACATAAAGCCCATGAAAGTTCTACAGTGAGATTGCCACGTGGAGTGTCACACTCTGTGACTGCAAATGGATTTTGTTTTGTACAGCCACACTGAGGGGAAATATGTACAAGAATATACGATTAATTTCATCTTACAAATATATATAACATCACATTTACATTTCAAAGCTTGTTTAACTTGTGACACTCAAAATGGTTTTGCCACAAAGCGTGTATTTAGAAATATCCAAAAAACATCAATACGTATGGATTATAATGTAATATACAAGTTAACACCAACAACAAAGAAACTAACATAACTGAAAACTGCACATTTGCACTACGTTAAATGTAAATATTATGGGGGGAAACACTATAGGGTGATTCTTTTCATTTATTTACTTTTGGCTTTGGAATACCAAGATTCAAATATCACAGGTTCCTGATGAGCAACCTAACCATATGGTACATCCGTTGCTTTCCCGTGATCAGCTAAGTTGTCGTTTTGTAGAAAAATTCTGAAGATATAACAGAGAAACCATTATTAACATTGTTTTTCTCAAGTCTGTTATTACACCTTACGTAGTTGACGACCTGCTTGTTTATTTGGTAAAACAGATATATTTTATAAGAATGCTGTCTCAAGATGTTATTATTGCCAATTCAGTGACAATGAAATGTATCTTTTTTTTTTCTTTTTTGCTCCCTTGTGGTAAATCCAAGCTTGGAATATTTATAATTGCACTCAGTTACTTACCAGAAGGTCTTCTCTGATATCAGGTAACTAACTTGTGTTACAACATTCAGGTCTTAAGCTGTGTGATAATTTATTGAAGTCTGAATTAGAAAAAAATCCGTAAACTATCTACAACATGTGACAAGTTCAACTGAAACATCTAAGTGTTAGAATATTATTACGAAGAAATAATATTAAAACTGCGAGTACTAAAAAACTTTGATTTTTTCTTTTATGTCAAATCTTCCATGTGCAGTAACTTGAATAGCCATTTGTTATCCCAATGTTTCAATGGTGAAAAAACTGAGAAGTTTAATGTTTCTTATCAGGTCGTTCATGCGATTAGGACAATGCAAAGCTAAACTTTCACATGGACAGCTCCTGTCTTGGTTCTTGAGGTAGACGACATGCTGTGTGAAAACCTTCTTCAGTCCTAAACGGCATATATCTCAAAAAACAAGCAAAGATTAGTTCGATAGAAATTTCCAGTAAAATTGGGAGCGGATTAAAAGTCGTTTTAGTATGGTACCAATTACGGGTAATGAGTGAAGCAACTGAAAATGGATAGCAATGTCCAGTTGATATTACGAACAGACTGGATATTGACCTATAAATAGAAATAGGAATTAAACAAATGAGTACTGACGCGATGCTATTCAGAGACTAAGCTTTTCGTATGCAGTAACATAAGCAGTTGGTAACAGATTCGATACGTTACCTATACTAGTCATATATATATATATATATTAAGATATAACGGTAATTCGCCAAAAACTACAAACGAGTAAAAACTAATCCATATATAAGTTTTCTAGTTCTTATAGTTTTGAGATGCGTACCAGAGGAAAGGCATTTAAATGACAGCTTCCGCCGCCTGCGCGACTAACATGCATGCATAAAGGATACTCCTTAGGATATTTGAAAGTTAAACTAACAAAACACAATAATATAGGGGGAAAACGTCTTGCACGAGTCGTAAATGCTAAATGCATATTTCAACAGTCATTAAACATCACGCAAATATTTTATCACGTGACTAACTACTGATTAAAGAGAAGAAACTGATTTTGGGAAGTTTCTTACGTGTTAAGACTTACCTGCAAGTACGTGATAAGAAAATTTCTTATCACGTACTTAATTAATAGCGAAATATCACGTGATATTTCGCTATTCTTTGTGATTTACACACGTATCATTTAAGACAGAAATATATTTTATAAACAACATATGACGCGCTTTCGTATCATTACATATTATCATGAATAAAACGTAGTTGTACTTAAATGTGATCCGTTTTTAAACAGGAAATTGACTTCATAAAATACAGTTTTTAACTGATGAAATACACACGGATTCTATCACAATTATCAATTTTATCTGATAATCTCTAATTTCTTTCAATAATCCCTTTCCTTGTTATTCCGACCCAGTGTGGCTATACAGAATATGACTTCAGAAGCCAAATTATTTTTGATAAGTTATTCTCTGTCTCCTTCGCTTACGAAGACCAAACCTTCTTGTTGCAATTGAGAAGAACGACAAACATATTTACCATCATTTGTATTATTAGAAACCCAGTTTCACCATAAAAACTATCCTAATGTAAAATTCTATGACTCACAAGTATCACATTATATCACATGCCTGGACTTCTTTTGAACTTTTGGCAAAATGAAAAGTAATTATTATTCCCATATCACACAGAGTATTTGGTTATTGAACCAAGTATTAGTATTGTATTATACCCAATCTCTTACTTGACTAATAGCGTTTTATGTTAAATGTAGAAAGTAATTTTGTTATAAAAAAAATTTAATGATTCCCACCAGGTTTCACAACAATACAAATACCCTTCAAAAAATAAATAAATTTGTTAATAAAAAAATTTACAAGCAATATCTATATTTAGTATCAATGGGTCATTTCAACACTATGCAGTCTATTTGACTGAAAGTTAACTTATCAAACTTTCAAGCACAACTGATACATGAATATATTCGCCAGGTTTCAAAGCTATAAAATAGCCATTACTTCAGTGCAGAATAGATACACATTAACTCAGTACGTCAACCGTATATGTTGCATCAAACATGCTTGTAGGTTTTATAAATTTATAATTTGTGTGTGTTGGAATGGTCCATTCTACAGTGATAAATACCTCTGTGTGTGGGTAAAGCCTTTCCCATCTTACGTCTAACATAAATGTGAACTTGGTAACTACACACGGTAAGCCGCAAAATATAATCTGAAAAAAAAAAAACACTCCTTAAGCTATCTAACATATAAACGTAGCAATTTACCAATATCTAAATATTTCAAGAGAAATTAAGATTATTTCTTACGAAGGAACAAGGAGTATGTTGTAAAGTTAGTTGCTCATGTAACTTGTACAAGTTTATAAACAATTGTAATAAACACTAAACATAATATCTAAAACTATTTTCTTTTGATTTGCAATAAAAAAAAAAGTTCAGACTTTTGAAAAGTATCCTTCATGTATTCAAAACAGCGTAAAACACCTTCGTATTTTCTAAAGTAATTTGCTTGACTCAAGTGCCCTGACTAGGCCATAGAGATTAAATAAACAAATACAGACAGCTTGCAACGTCTTTCGTTAAAGAAACAAGAGCTGCATGACCCACTCATTTACCTCCAAGCTTTATATATATGTTATCACCGAAAATATAAACTTTATAATCAGTATTTAAAGCAAATTATATTTTGTTAGAACTTAGTTTTTTAAAATTTGTTTGCAAAATGTTAAAAGTTTAGATCTCTAAATACAGTAATGTTAGTAAGCGTGATTTTGAAGATGCTTCAATTCCATTACTGGCCACTAGGCAGGTTCTTTCTCTACGACAACAAATCACAGCAAAGGATAACTAGACATCACAGGTGAGATCCCATCTCTGTACTCTTTACTGACTACTGACCCATTGGATTGGCTTGGCCTGAGGACAAGATCTTACTTTGTCCATCCTAAGGGTGAACACGAGCACAGCTTATTGCACACACACAGACATTAACTTGGCCGTTCTACAAATGTACTCTAGTTTATGGATCAAGTATAAGCTGCAGGGATACTTAAAGTCTGCACGCAACACAACAAGCTGGTTTAAAGGCAGTACTTATGAAAAGAATATTTCTGAAAAATATCTCAGTTTTGAAAACAAAAATTAAACCGAAATGATGATGTAGCAGTCTGAGAGGGAGATTGTCTACACGAGCACTGCGCAATTATGCAGATATAACTCAATACTTCTTGTCATTTTTTTTTCTAATCTCACCACCAGAAATCTTAGTGACCTTGTACACAGATTTTTCACCTTGCAGAAAGATCAAGTGTTGCAACCGACACCTCAGACAGTATAGTTTTTACCAACTTCACTTATTTTTCAATTACGATCCTCATTATACTGGCCCATTCAAACTGAGCATGCCATAACCATTTTGAGTTGTTGGTGAGACGACTAAAGATGTAGTAGATGAAGGGGTACTGCTGGAAAGACCAGATGAGGCTGTCACAGCTGATGGTGAGCTGGTAGAAGCAGAAGAATGATTCACATACTCTTTCTCTGCTTTTAAAGCATGAGATCGAGAACGGATATCCATCTTGGAGATTGCAGTAGAGCTATCATTTTCATCTTTAATCTGATTGGCGAGTTCTTTAACAACACGAAGTCCTTCATCCATAAGAGTCTCCTGAACCAACTGTTTGGTGATTTGGGCATTGGTTTTTTTACTACTTGACACCATTCGCATGGTGTTGAACATATCTGTGGTCGGGAGTGAATTGTTGAAATCTAGCGACGGGTTGTCCTGGGCTTCCTGACTCAAGGGGGGTGAAGAGGTGTTGCTATATGCTGAGAACTGGGAATCTGTGGGTTTGAATTTCAAATTAAATATTCTGGTCTACAAGATGAACAGTAATCATTAAATATGTTTTGAAATTATCAATTTTTGTACCATATAACATTCCATACAATATTGAAATAAAGTCAGAAACGCTTTTTTGACTAAATAATAGATGAAATAATACTTAAACATAACTATTAAAATAAACATGCTTTACACCGACTGTGGTGTTTGATATACATTTAAAGAAAATAGCACTAGTTACCGAATTTTATCAACTAACAGTGTTCTCAATTATTACGTACGTCAAAGAAAGTTGGTTGTTGATAAGCACAAAGCTACACAATGGACTGTTTTTGTTTTAATTCTGATTATTTAACATTAAATCATTGCGTAACTCACCTGAAATGGCATTTATAAAACACTTAACAAACCCCATTTAAATACCTGAATTGCGTTTTCAGCTAGTAAGTACTTCTTGAAAAAACCTTTAAATTGATTTACGATAAAACGTCACTACAATCCCAGCGAAATATCACTAATACACATTAACACGCATGCTCTTCAACGATACTACACAGAAGGATCCTTGCTAGAACAAACGCAGCTTGTCTTCCAATAAATATAACTACCCCATGTTTAGACATTTTTACCATTCATGCCAACGTCAAGTACATTTTATCGAAATTGTTTTGCAATAAGAAACACATGAGAGCCAAACAACCATTAAAACCTGCTTAACAGCATAAATGTCCTTTTACCTAGAGAAACATTCTAATACAATAAAGAAATACTTTTACTCATCTTATACCTCACCCCATATCATCCTAGAAGGCCATTTAATAAATAAGAAAACGATCCTAGATAACCGCATATCAACAAATAACAGATTCTTGACAAACTACCTATCACCATATGCAAAATTTTTAAAACCCAAAAATTCAATAAAAAGTAAATGATTTTTCAGTAATTACTATAAAAAATACAACACGAGAAATTTGCAAAAATACTATCAAGCACACTTAAATAATAGATACTTTTAGAAAATTATAGATAAAAAAGGGTAAACTTTGAAGAAGCATACAACACCAGTTGGTTTGTCTAATAAAACAATAACTTAAAAATTATACTTGACCAATACTTAGTACGTTATGAAAAACTATCCAAGATGAAAATTATCATTGAACATTCACACCTTACCAAATATAAAATTAATAAAATTAGATAAAGTTATCCTTGTCTAAACAGAAGGTACCATAAGGGACATTATAAGAAATTACAAAAGATGAAACTTATCAGTGAACAATTACACCTTATCAGATATAACACCAATCCAATGAAACCAGATAATAATTACATTTTCATTGACTAATCAGAGGTTACCATATGGAACACTTTAACAAACTATACACGAAAAATAAATGCAATGAAAAGTCACAAGCTACTAATTATAGCATCAATAAAATTAGAGAACAATAAAATCAGAAAATATTCAGTGAACACTCAGACCTTACCAAATACAACACAAACAAAACTAAAGAAGAATAAAATCAGAAAATATCCAATGAACACTCACATCTTACCAAATATAACACAAACAAAACTAAAGAAGAATAAAATCAGAAAATATTCAGTGAACACTCACATATTGCCAAATATAACACAAACAAAACTAAAGAAGAATAAAATCAGAAAATATTCAGTGAACACTCACATATTACCAAATATAACACAAACAAAACTAAAGAAGAATAAAATCAGAAAATTCGATGATGAGGAACTCACCTTGAGACTAATAATGCTTTGAGACAGCTTGAATGGGTAATGAAGAAAAACTTTAATATAAGTTTAACATAACAGCAATGATGAATGACAAAACCTTGTTGAAACGTTGTACCTTTGCTGTTATGTTAAACTTATATTAAAGTTTTCTTCATTACCCATTCAAGCCGTCTCCAAGCATTATTAAAATACTAGAAAATATTCAGTCAAGAATCACATCTTACCAAATATAACACAAACAAAACTGAAGAAGAATAAAATCAGAAAATATTCAGTGAACACTCACATCTTACCAAATATAATACAAATAAAAGTATAAAAGAATAAAATCAAAAAATATTCAGTGAACAATCACACCTTACCAAATTCAACACAAATAAAAGTATAAAAGAATAAAATTTGCTATAAACTAATCATATATCATAAAAACATTAACAAAATCACTCAAAAACAAAATATAATCTGATCAATCACAAGAAACGAATATGATACTCTAAAAATTAAAGTATAATAATGATACAGCTGAAAATATCCTTAAAAGAGAGGGTACCCATTGGAGAAATAAATGTATTTTAATTTGTAGAAATAACAACGTATGAAAAAACATATTTAATTAGCTACATTGATTACCAATACTAGGTTGAAGTTTAGTTTCACTTTAAGTAGGAAGTTCACTGTAATCGTAAGTGGATATGAATGAAATTATCTCTGACCAATCACATGTCATTCATGATCAAGTAGACTCTAACAGATGCATTAAAATATTGGATTTATAACCACCTATATTACATGAACTAAGCTGCCTAAACAACTCAAAACATTACTTATGTTTAATAACAATATCTAAATTTAGATTCCAAAAGAATTATAGCTGTTTCTTGTTCATAGCAATAACAAAAAATGTATTCTGGCAAACTCTGAAGTTTAGCAAGCAGTAGCATAGGAAAGTAAATACTTCTGTATATTCTAGCAAGCATTTGCAGAAGCAGTGTTTAATTTTCTATATTCTAGCAAACAACAGTAGAAGGAAGAATATATTCTTTATATTCTAGCAAGCATTAGCAGCGGAGATTGATAAATTTGTTATATTCTGGCAAGTATTGGAAGGTGCTTACTTCGTTATATTTTAGCAAGCATTACAAGAAGGGGATATTGAATTCTATACTTTATATTATAGCAAGAATTAGCAGAAGAAGATGTTTACTTCTTTATGTTCTAGAAAACTTTAGTAGAAGGAGTTTAGTTCTTTAAATTCTATGAAGCATTAGCAGAAGAAGGTGTTTAATTGCTTGTATTCTAGCAAGCATTAGCAGTAGGAAGTATTTAATTCTATATATTGTAGCAAGAATTAGCAGAATGGGGTGTTTACTTGTTTGTGTTCTAGCAAGCATTAACAGAAGGAGGTGTTGAATTTTTTTATATTCTAGCATGCATTAGAATAATAAGGTATTTAATTCTCTATATTGTAGCAAGATTTAGTAGAAGGAGGTACTTATTTTTTATATTATAACAAGCACAAGCCGAAGCTGTTTACTTTTTTATATTCTAGCAAGCATTAATAAAAGGTGTTTATTTCTTTATATTTTAGCAAACTTTACCAAAAAGAGGTATTGAATTCTTAATACTGTTGGAAGCTTTAACAGGAGGAGGTATATATTCTTTATATTCTAGCAAGCAGTATCAGAAGGTCATATTTAGTTCTTTATATTCTATGAAGTTTTGGTAGAAGTAGGTATCTCTTGTAGAAAGAATTAACAGAAGAAGGTATCTACTTTATTATGTTCTAGCAGGCTTTAGTAGAAGGAGTTTAGTTCTATAAATTCTATGAAATATTAGCAGAAGGAAGTGTTTACATCTTTATATTTTAAGAAACATTAGCAGATGAAAGTGTTTAATATTTTACATTCTAGCAAGCATTAACAGAAGAGGTTTACTTCTTTATGTGTTTGCCAGGTATGAATGTTTTACTTTCAGTAATTTTAGTGAAATAACAAAATATGAGGTAGAAAGATAACTATAAAATCCATTAATCTGAGTTTGACATTCTGAAAATAATTTGAAATCTTCTAGAATTCCTGAAGTGTGATTTTGTGAGGCTCTCTACTATCCAAGGGTACAATTCTATACAGAAGAATATACTCACCATGACAAAACAGTCACTCCATAAACATGTAACATGATAAAACAATAACACTAGGGCAGAGAAAGATAAGCACATAAACATAACATTTCCTTTTCTCTGTGTGAAAAAGCGTAATTACTTGGGTTTAAAGTGTAACATAAAACTCAATTTCTCTTACCTGTGTCATCAGTATCAAGTTTTTCTGATTCTGAGCAGTTAGAAATATGTCCATATCCCCTTCCTCCCAAGGAGTACCTGATTTAGATAAAACAACAATAAATGTCATATCCCCTTCCATTCAAGGAGTACCAGATTTAGATAAAAAAAACAATAAATGTCCATATCTCCTTCCACTGAAGAAGAACCTGAATCATATAAAACAACAATAAATGTCTTATCCCCCTTTGACTTAAGAAATAGCTGTTTTAAATAAAACAAAAATAAATGTCCATATCTCCTTCCACT